TCCGGGGATTAGGAAAAGATGGGTTCACCACCTGAACAGAAGAGAAGAACAATGTTTGAGAAGAAAATAGAAATGTGAAGTCCTGGGAACTGGGGTGGAGGAAGGTAGGGAGGCCTACAGCATATTGGAAGGTAGACCCAATGACTTCTAAATGGATGTTCAGTACACCAGTAGTGTAGCTAATCCATAAGGTTTCTGTATTAGCTATGTGCCCATGCCAAATTCTAAGCTTGTTTGGTGTGGGTGTGCCTGGTGACAGACATCCAGGACAAGAGAGAGTCTACAGTTTACTCATTACATGACAGAGGAAATTTCTGACCTCCAAATATCTAAGCTTGAATCCTACTGTAGAGATGATAACTAAGGGCCTAAGCAGACTGCCAGAAATAGTACACTTTAAATTGAGGCACTGCCCTGGCTCAGTGCTAGGGAATCATGGGAACTGTAATTTATTGTGGCACCAGAGCTCTCTGACAGAGAAGGCTCAATGTCCCAGAAAAAAATACAATTTCCATGACTCCCTAGCACTGAGCCAGGGCAGTGCCTTAATTTAATGTGCACTATTTCTGGCAGTCTGCTTAGGCCCTAAGTCAATGGCATTTACTGACTTGCCATTCAACAATAAGTTCAATGAATCTACTCTAGTTGGGATTAAAGCAAAGAGACATTCAGATCAGAGACAGATTTTGTTAGACATTAAGTCCTAGAAGGGCATTCTGATGGATAATTGTGAAAGAAACTGAGGATGGAGCAAGCTTGTTTTCTGCTGCTCCAGAGACTAGGACACAGAGCAGTGGATTCAAACTACAGGAAAAGAGATTCCATCTCAACTTGAGGAAGAACTTCCTGAAAGTAAGAGTTGTTCCACAGTGGAACCTGCTGCCTCAGAGTGTGGTGGAGTCTCCTTTTCTGGAGGTTTTTAAACAGAGGATGGATAGCCCTTGGGTGTCTTCCAACTCTATGATTCTAGAAGGAATGCACAGATAACCAAAATAAGCACAGATATACAACTTTGTTTGATTTTTGTAATTTGCATAACATTGCAAAATGTAGCTTTTTAGGAATAGAATCTGGGTACAGATTGACAAGATTGTGATGGTTTATCAGTCTTTCCCTGCCCCTCTTATTGCACCCATACCCTTGTGTCCAGTTCCTCTGCCTCGTCAGGGGTGGTGCAGGTGGTGTTAATGCTCCCGTTGCATTCTTTGGTGTTGATCAGCTGAGGTGAGTTCCCATGGGAAGATGAAACTGATAACTTCTGCAGCAGAAAGGGAAATAAGAGAGGGACAAAAACACATTTTAGCTTATTTTTTACTGTTCATTTGAATGGAAAGTTTACAATTGGGAGGTGGAAGGAATGCAGTTGGAAAACTGATAGCGTGCAATTAGGGAAATGGGAGGAAACCTGACCCATCACAGGTTGCATTTCCCTTATCCAAAATGCTTGGGACCCAAAGTGTTTTGGATTTTTTTCAGATTTTGGAATATTTGCATATACATAATGAGATATCTTGCAGGTGGGACCCAAGTCTAACCATGAAATTCATTTATGTTTCGTATATCCCTTATACACATATCCTAAAGATAATTTTATACGTAACATTTTTAATAATTTTGTGCATGAAATGAAGTACATTGAACCATCAAAAAGCAAAGGTGTCACTATTTCAGCCACCCATACAAATTTTTATTGATTTTCAAGTCTTTGTAAGATAGTCAAACATTACAGTGTAACATAATGCCAAATATAACAATAACCATAGGATGTGATGTTACTCAGTGATCATTAGTTTGCAGGATTTGTAAATGGGATTCATCTGAGTTCAGTCTTTCATTGAGCTGTAAAGTGTCCTTCCAGAAGTTGCTGTGAGTCTGGAGGTTGGAGGTGGTGTGAAGGTTCATTTACAAATTCAATAAATCCTCATAAAAAGTGTTCTATTTTGAATGCCCATTACAAAGTCTCATTGTAGTGGAAAGTTTCTCCACTAACCATAGGTTCCATACCCTTTCCCACCAACCTTCAATATACAGATCCCCATGTTTCCAACATTTAGCCACCTCTAGTCTTGCAATTGTGATGAAAAAAGCAGTCAGTTTTCTATATTAAGCATGGCATTTCTATCTATAAACCCCAAGAGTAAAATCAGGGCTGGACAACAGGGTTTGGTGTGTAATACATATCTGGTGTAGAACTAGGTGGCAAAACTCCTATATCTTGGGGCATTCAACCTACATGTGGATATAGGAGCCAGTGTCTTTGCACCCTCTCCTGCAGCTCATTGGGAGACTCCATACCATTTTTGATAGCAGGATGGGGGTAAGGTACCACCTATGTAAAGTTTTGAGGAAGTTTTCCCTTGTGGCTGCTGACCTAGACTTAAATGGGAGTGGGGACCATATACCTGTCCATGTGGATTCCAATATTGATAGCTTTAATTCCGATTGCCAGAAAGAATGAACAGACTGGCCCCTTCCATATTTGTGTTCCAGCAAATAACTGTATGTATATGTCGCAATTCCTTTAATTTGGGCTGTAGTTTTGTGCTGTTGTTTTTTACAAAAAGTCTTGTATTGGGTGAATGGCCATGAGAGTTCCTGATAGAGCCTATTCTCAACATGAAGGAGGTGAGTTGGTACATTTGGAACCAAGTTAGGTCTCTAGTTTGGAAGGACGTTTTTAAAACATCAGGAGATTTAGGTTTTCCATCTGCAAATAGATCAACGATATAATAAACACCTTCCTGTTTCCAGGTTCTATCGGCGAGGAACTGACCATCTCTTGGAAAGTTTGGGCGTAAGAAGAAGGGTTTCAAGGGAGAAGGGGCGGGAGCAAGGACATTTGCCAGCACTTGGTTTGTTTAAATTGTTTTAATTGTTTGTTTA